GGGGGAGTAAAACATCCTACATGTATAATTACATGATAATTTACTTGAGGCATTCTGACAAAATGAGTTAATTCTCGGATTTTAGCCCTAGCTCTCTATGTATTATATTACGTCAATAATATACGTCAAATTTATAGGTTTAATTTGTACAATTTATTATAAAATGATAAAAGACATTTATTTTTGAAGAAAGTTATTATATCCGTTTAATAAAAGCTACAAATTTGATGTGCCTATTTTCAGCCGACATCGCCATTCGTGGATTGCGAGAAGTAACTTGTTTGGTCAACAAGGGTCACATTTTATGTTGTTCGTCCATTGTGATTTGCCAGGATTTACTGGCACCAGCTTCAGCTGTTCAGATGTGCTAAGCCGGAAAAAAATTGGAAATTTTGTTTTATTGCAGTTTCTTTAATCATATTATGTATGTCTAAGTAGTTTGCCAAAATTCAAATTCTAAAGTAGTAAAAAAGCAAGAAAAGATCTAAATATCTGTCATGAAGCTATGAAATCAGGCGCTCGCCAATTTTCCTGCATGTGAAGTTATTCTAAAAGCATGTTTATTTTTTATTGCTTTCAATGAAAACAAAAAACCAAACCCATCTTTCTTGAACAGAAGATGAGACGTTTACGATTGAAGGATATGTGGGTCACCTGATTTCACAGTTTAAATTAACGAGAAAATGGCTGCCAAAGTTTGGTAGCTCAAATGATAGCTTATTAATAGTTCTTAGAAACTGAAAATTTATATTTTTGGTGCCTTAATGGAGCGTTTTTCAGAGAAATCCACACGGAATTTCTTTACAAGGACATAAAAAAGGTATTGACCTTTATAACTATAACAAAACTTTGAACAAAAATTGTCAGAAGAGTGAAAAAAATGTTGGTTTCTTTGAGTTCATTATTTTGATGAGCGCCTGATTTCACTGCACTGCCTCACATAGAGCAGGTACAATTGCTTAGAGAATGAAACAGTTTTTTTGTCAGTATGTTAGTGTTTTAGCGCCTGTAAGCAGCTGCTTGCACTGTATGTTTCCCAGGAAGTTGAGTTTGTTTCAGAATGCTCTCAGGCCTTCTGAGGTAGTAATAGTATAGATTGTGAAGCGCATAGAGCTTGCTGTTGAGCGGGGATTTATTATTATAATCTCTCTTGAAAATTTTGCATTTGGGCTTAGAACATTTGAAAATCCTGCTGACAATATGCAGCTTCTGTTCCCATCATCATAGACTTGAATTACATCCAAGACCGGGCACTGTCCTGGTTGTCATTCTCTGCATAAAAGCCATGACATATATATTTGGATTCTGTCCCCGTCGTTTTATGCAAGAAAAATTCTGAAATTATGCAAACTGAGCCCAAAAATGTGAAATTATGCGATTCTGTTAATTTCAACAAAGAATGATAAAGGAAAAAAATCAGAAATTATGCAAAAAATGATCAAATTTTGCTAAATTATTGGGGGTGCATAAAACCGC